TATTACAACCAAAATGTAATATAGTAATTAAACAACCATGAAGCTAAGTACCGGCGTTTCATTATGTCCATAATAATAAGAGGCATAAACATTGGTGACCCCGACGTGATTTGAACACGCAACCTTCTGATGGCGCCAACAAAATGAATTGTCAAACTAATCTAAATTATTCAGACGCACTATAAATTAGATTAGTTTGACAATTCATTTCAAATTTAATAGGGCTGGGTTGTTTAAAATCAGTCATGAATCTTATCGTTTTTAGATTTTCATTTTTATAGAATTTGGAATCGATAGATTCATAGTTATAACTTAAGAATTAAAAAAAAACACTGTTTTCTTAAATTAATAATGACCATTACAAATAATGAGAGTAAACAAGTATTTATTACTACTACAGACGTACGTAATCGAATTGGATTTCGCTATTATTTCTGTCATCGCTAAATTTTCTACACTATAATCAATACTAGAATTGTCGTCTAAATTAGTTAATAAGAAAATAATAATTTTAGTTGGTATTCGATAATTATTTAAACCGAATATATATAGTTCATAATTGTTAGCTATGCGTGTTTGTTTCGTCACTACGATACCTGTATGTTAAGTACGGCATTTGCCTTCATACAAAATTTAATTCGATACTTCATATGCGTCGTTCATCAAACTAATCTATCTTATTTAGACAAACTATAACAATTCTCATAGCGCAATTAACTAATACTCCACCTATTTTTTATTATTTCATTGTTTTCAAGGCAAAAACTTAGTTATAATACAAATGAGTCATGGTCGAGGCGCTTGTCTCAAAGCCAGCCGAATAGAAAGTAAATGACTGCGCTGCAATAACACTGTTAGTGATCTCTAGAGTTTTAACATCTTTATCATCGGATGGAGTCGCGGGCCAAAGCTAGTATTCCATAAAGTTCACTTTAATACAATTACTAGCTTACGCCCGCGACTCCATCCGCGTGTAATTAAACAAAAACAAAAATGAGTAGCCTATGTTTTCCTTCAGTCTATCCTCTACATCTATACCAAATTTCGTTGAAATTCGTTCAGCCGTTTAGGCTACAAACTCTAACAAACATCAATCCATCTAAACTTTCGCATTTTTAATATTAGTATGAAATATGAAATGTTATTGTACTACTAAATTTTATCTACAAAATTTCCCTTTTTACCAACCAGCTCGTAAAGTATTCTTAGATAGGTATTTCTACGGTTAAGGATCTCCCTAAATCTAAATTAATTGGTGAAAACTAAATTCAAAGTGAAATTTAGGGCTAAGTTAAGTGGGAGCCCTAAAAATAAAGGACAATAGTTGTAAACGACCAAATATAAACCAGACTAGTTTTTTAACTCTGCCCCAAAAATAGCATGAAAACTTTTTTCTCTTTTTTAATCTACACTACTTCGCAAATCATGCTCGTATGAAATATATTTACTTATTAATAATTACAAAGATAGATGATTCGACATTTTTTTTATCATCAATCTTCATGAACTTAAATATAGTATTTATTTTGTAATACAAAAAGCACATTATCTTAATTCGTATAAAAACAAACGAATCATTGAAAACAAACTGGGAATATATTGTGCAACAAGCACGACTTGTGATTTCTTAACATTTATCATATCTGTAAGTATTATTAATAAATTAGGTAATTAAAACATTTTCGTCCACGTGACATAGGTAAAGTAACAAAAATTAATCAAAAAAGCGTAAGTCTGTCCGTTCGTTATTTGTTTCGGATAATCTCTGAAACAACTACCGTCCATATATGGCAAAAATTTACTATCACAAGTAACTCAAGTATATGATTTTATGGTTTTCCTAAAAATGTTTTGTGATTTTCTACAAGACATTACACAAAATCTATTGTAAATATAAACATAGACTCTCTCTCTCTGCATCGTTTTCTCATTCCTGAGGGCCACGACCTTAGATTACAATTTAGATTCTTCTTCTTGTCCTATATCCCCAAAGTGGGACAGAGGGCGTCCTCAGTGCGCTAATAGCTCTCTCTATCCTGAGCTCTGCGTTTTGTCTCAAGCAAAGACAGCCCGATTACCTTCATGACGGCCGTCACTGAACGCCATGTTTGTTAAGGACGGCCACGCTTTCTTGTTCCTGGTGGGATCTACTCCAGAGCCTCTTTAGGAATGTGACTGGGATCACGGCGAAGCGTATGGCTAATCCATAACCACTTGTGGCGTTTTATTTGCTGACCGATCGGCTGCTCCCTACAACGTTTCAAGAGTTTTTTGTTGTGTATCGTTTCTGGTCAGAAGATACCTAGAATTTGTCGGAGACAGCGTTTGATGAAGACTTCGACCCGCTCATTGTAGGTTTTGTCACCTTCCATGTTTCGCACCCATATAGCAGGACAGATTTTTACGTTGGAGCGGAATAATTTGGTGTTCACACAACGCGTTAGCTTCTTAGATTGCCATATGAGGCTTTGGCTATTCTGGAGCTGATATCCACATCTGTACCTCCAGACTCGATACGACACTGCCGAGGTAGGTATACTTCTGCACTTGCTCAATGTTAATGAGAGGAGGCAGCAGGGACAGTTTCGTGTGGGACTTCCGGCCTTATAAATTTCGGCCGGACTACCCACTAAACCCTGCGGAGTTCTCCTTCGCCCAACCGGGCCGTGGCATCTACGTTAGTTTATCCACGACCTGGCTTGGGGGAGCCCCTTGATAGGGGTTTGACAAGTGTAGGGAGGGGTCAGATGTTAAGCCCCTCCCATCACCCTACGATGATGGCCCTCTCGGAACACAAGATGGGGCACATCCGCCACATTCGGCGCGTTGGGCGTCCCAGCCCGTGCACAAAGCGAGCGTGTGCTCGGTTGTGTCCACGTCGCCTGACGCGCAGTGGTGGCACCCGGGATCTGACTCAATTCCCACAACCACACACAGGTACCGGCCGAAGCAGCCGTGTACTGTGAGTAGCTGCGCCAGGAAGTAAGTCGGCTCCCGGTGCCTTACCTCCACCCACTGGCGCAGGACGGGGCGGACAGCCTTGTCAAGCCTCTTGCTCGTCGAGACGCCCGCCAATCTCTCCTTCGAGGTCATCATCATAGTCTAGGTCGTCCAGGTTGCTAGATAACCCCACAACATAAAACTACATTTAATAACATAGACTACTGATAATAAAATAAATAATTATTTTATTCCATGCTGATGAAGTCGCGGACAACAACTAGATAATCATTTAATCAAAGTAATTTTAGAACATGTTTCTACGTGACTTGGCTCTGTACGTCATATTATGTTTTTTAATCTGCTAATAATACGTTAATAAAGTGGTTAAAACTGTTATGTTACTGTTAATTCACGAACTTCTGTTAACCCTTAGATTAACCAACTTATCATTAAAGAATGAAAAACCACATTTATTTCGAGCATTCCCTTAAATCGTCAATAAACAACCGTTTTTATGTTATACAGAAAATAATTTAATGCTACTTTTGAAAATGTTGAGGGTTTATCCGAGCCCTTCAGTTATGACATGTAGTGAGCTGGTTGTGCACAATTTTCGGTATTTCACAACAGAATAATCATTCTTTATACTAATGTCATACTAATACTTTATTTATACTATACTATGTATATATACTATAATTATAAATGCGAAAGTTTGGATGTATGGATTGATAGATGGATGTTTGTTATTTATATATTTATTTGTTAGAGTTTGTAGCCTAAACGGTTGAACGGATTTCAAAGAAATTTGACATAGATGTAGAGGATAGTCTGGAAGAACACATAGGCTGCTAACTTTTGTTTTTTTTTAAACTCAACACGGCTGGAGTTGCGGGAAAAAACTTGTATTCAATAATAATTATATGTAGAATAATGATTCCACAAAAAAAAAGATACGTTATCATATGATTTTTAATTTTCAGTTTTGTCGATTCATCGTTAACTAGCAGTAAATTTAAACAATCTAAACATGATCAGCTATATTGATAAGTATATAGTATATAATATACCCGTGTGAATCGGATGTATATCATTCAGTGATCTTGTACTGTGACAGTCATGGCCTACGTCATCCTGAGCGTTGCTGCGGCTCTGTTCGTTGCTCTCTACTATTACTTCACGAGAACATTCAATTATTGGAAGGAAAGAAATGTCGTCGGACCCAAACCACTACCCTTCGTTGGAAACTTAAAGGATTCTTTCTTTAGAAAGAAAACTGTGATCATGGTTTATAAAGAAATCTATGATAAATTTCCTAAAGAGAAAGTCGTTGGAATGTATAGAATGACAACACCTTGTTTATTGATTCGTGATTTGGATATTGTGAAGAATATATTAATTAAAGATTTCGATTTGTTCCTTGATAGAGGAGTCGAATTCAGTGATGAAGGTCTTGGTGTCAACTTGTTCCATGCTGATGGCGACAGATGGAGAGTTTTAAGAAACCGTTTTACTCCACTCTTCACTTCGGGCAAGCTCAAGAACATGTTGCGTCTGATGTCAGAATGTGGAGACAAATTTGTAAATTACGTCGGAGATGTTACTCAAAATAATATGGAGCATCGTATCAATCTCCTTGTTCAAAGGTTCACAATGGCTTCCATTTCGGCTTGTGCCTTCGGTTTGGATTTAGATAAGGATATGTTGAAATCTTTACAAGACCTGGATAAATTAGTGTTTACCGTAAACTACAGTATCGAGCTAGATATGATGTATCCTGGAATATTGAAAAAGTTGAATGGATCACTCTTTCCAAAGAGTGTAAGTAAATTTTTCGACGACCTTACTAAATCTGTTATCCAACGAAGAGGTGGTATGCCCACAAACAGAAAGGACTTCATGGATTTAATTTTAGAATTGAGACAAAGGAGAAAAATTGAAGCATCGAAGAGAAACGACGATGAAGACGTGAAGGTACTTGAACTGACTGACGGCATAATTGCTGCGCAGGCGTTTATATTCTATACAGCAGGCTACGAAACCAGCGCAGCGACTATAGCTTTCATGTTATACGAACTGGCGATGAATTCTAACATACAAGACAAACTCATTGAAGAAATCGATGTAGTTCTTAAACGTCACAATGGTGAAATAACTTATGAGTGTTTGAGCGATATGCCCTATTTGGGGCAGACATTTGATGAGACTTTGAGAAAATACCCGGTTGCAGATCTTTTGTTCCGTAACGCTCAAGTTGACTATCCCATCCCGGGCACCGACGTTACTGTCAAAAAAGGGCAAACCGTAATTATATCCGGTTGGGGTATACAACATGATCCGAAATACTATCCCAACCCGGACAAATTTGACCCAGAAAGATTTAGTCCGGAAAATGAGAAAAACAGACATTCCTGCGCTTATTTACCATTTGGAGCTGGTCCCAGAAACTGTTTAGGTATGTTAATTTTAGTATTACATTTTCTAAGTGACCGTGTGTAAAAAATGTTGGAGTCAAGAACTTATAATTTTACTGATAGGTATGTATGAGTAATTAAAACAGCACTTGCTTAGTGCAGACTGGTTTATTCACGTCACATAGACGCAGTCGTCAGGCGCAGCCGACCGTTCCTTTAAGGCAAGCTACACGCGCATACTTAACACTTGCTATGTTAAAAATGCGAAAGTTTAGATAGATGGATGCTTGTTAGAGTTTGTAGCATACATGACAAAATGTAGAGGATAGTCTGGAAGAACACAAGGGCTATTTCCTTTTATTTTTTTTTAATTCTACTCGAACGGAGGCGTGAGCGACAGCTAGTAAAAGTATAAGTAAATCCAGTTAACAGCAATTGCTATAGAAATTGCGATTTAAATGCAGTGGTGAAATATTTTACCCATATTGCTAGATTTTTCTAGCATATCTAATTTTGGAAGCACATATCTTTTTTTTATAACATAAGGTGGCAAACGAACAAGCGGCCACCTCAATCCGCCAAATTGGGGAAGCGACTGCTGCCCATAGACATCCGCAATTGCAGATGCGTTGCCTAGCCTTATTCGACGGAGGAAGAGACGCACATAAATAGGATATTTCCCCTTTCTATGCATATCCTCCACCGTCAATTCCACTTCCTCTTCCCATCCTCTTTTTATAAGAAAAGGGTGGTAAAGGGAAAGGGACTAAAATTAGGCCTCCGGCACCACACTCATCAGACGAAACACGGAATTGGTTCCATTTCTCGACTGTCTTCTGTGTGGTCGTGGTATTACACCGGGCGTGCCGGCCTATTCGTGCTAAGATGTTAAAGCGGGCTCTACCTGTTGTATCTTGTATATATCTTACAAGCAGTGTACATTTCTTGCTTGAGTTAATGATTTTTTTTTTTTATTTCAGGTATGCGGTTCGCTAAATGGCAGTCCCAAGTGTGCATCGTGAAATTTTTGTCAAACTTCCGCGTGGAACCTTCGAAAAATACTCCGGTGGACCTCAAATATGATCCCTCGCGTTTATTTCTCTTACCTTCCGGTGGTATTAATTTAAATGTTGTAAGAAGACAGTCAAAACGAACAAAAAACAAGCCCTATAGTTTGTCTAAATAAGATATATTAGTTTGACAATTCATTTGAAATTTAGTAGGGATGGGTTGTGTAAAATCAGTCATGAATATTATCGATTTTCAATGTTTATTGTTATAGAAGTTGGAATCGATAGATTATAATGAGAGTAAATAAATGTTTATTACCACTCCAGCCGTATGTAATCGCGAAATCGAATTGGATCTCGCTATTATTTCTGTCATCGCTAAATTCTATACACTATAATCAATACTAGAATTGTCCTCTAAATTAGTTAATAAGAAAATAATAATTTTAGTCGAGTTCTATAATTATTTAAACCGAATAAAGATATTTCATAATTCTTCGCTATGCGTGTTTCGTATAAGATAGATTAGTTTTATAAGTGACGCATATGAAGTGTTAAATTAACTTTGTATGAAGGCAAATGCCGTACTTAATAGTTAGGTATCGTAGTGATGTACCAATCACGCAAAGCGGACAATTATGAATTATCGATGTTCCGTTAAAAAAAAAATTATCGAACTTGACTAAAATTATTTTCTTATTAACTAATTTAGTCGACAATTGTAGTATTGATTATATATAGAAAATTTAGCGAAGACAAAAATATTAGCGAAATTAAATTCGATGACGTACTAGTAATAAATATTTATTTACTCTCATTTTTTGTAGTGGTTCTGCAGGTAATTATTAATTTGACTAAACAGTGTTTTCTTTTTTATTTTATAAGTTATAACTAT